TGTGGATTAACCAGCAGATTTCCCCCATGTGATAACGTCCTATGAAACATAATCAATCACACCCAATCCCTCTCACCTCCCAAATACCTAAACCAACTCTTCATTTTAGAAACCTTCTCAGGTTCCATCACAGGTAATCAAACTTTTAGTTTTCCATGGAACTCTCATGAATTAAGGGTATATCATCCCCCAAATGAAACCTTTTGGTTGCTACAGTCTTGACAGTTGGTCCTCCTCATCCACGGTGACTGTTATCTCAGGCTTCAGTCTTGTTCCTGTCCTTTCCCAAAACCTGCACTCTCAAGACTCATGGTTTGAGTCATGGTTTGAGTCTTCATACTTCACTGCTTTCCATGGACCTTTGTCTTCAAGAATATGAAGCTATTGCCTCATCCAACCCTCAGTCTCAGCTATCCCCTTTCTGTGTTTGGTTAGCTATGTGTGCTGTATAATTTAATGAGGTGTGTGCGTGTGTGCATGTATACGTACGTGTGTGCGCGCTACTGAAAAGAAAAAGAAGCACACCATCAAACATTTCACAGATGAGAATTGGGACACATGTGGCCAAGTAAGATCAGGGAAATAAAGACAACAACAGACATTAATAAGGAAGAACAGACAAGCTAAAAGAAGCTGTAAAAATTTGCCTTTGTTTGAGTTTACATGGAAAGGCAAAATTCTTCTCTCATCTGCCCTCTCCTTTTGCTGAATTGAATGTAAATTACTTTTGTACTTTGAATTCAGTTTGCAGCAAATCAAATAAGCCAGGGCAAAAGGGGAAAGTGGAAGGCAGAAAGAGAAACTGGAACATTTTTAAAGTGACTGAAAAAAAATGGGACAGCAGAGGATTAATCTGGACTGTCCCTGCCAAATCAGGACAGTTGGAGCATTTAGAAGGGCTAGGGCAGGCTCTGAGATCTGGCAAACGTATACCTGCCAATTGGCTTGCCTTCTTATTTTGATCCCAATCTGCATCAGTGCTCAGGAAGGTGTAAGAATGTAAAGAGAGTTTCCCCTCCCTCTCCTTATCCTTCCCCCTTTCTTTCTACTGTTTGGCATTGTTCACATTGAGAACAGGCAGTCTACAGTCACTTTGAGCCCCTGCTGCAGAGTGAGCCTTAGCAGCTATCCAGTGATGCTGGCTTCTGTTACCAGTGCTGTGTTTCACAGTTTCACCCATTATCTCTTAGGTGAGCAGAGTATAGCCCTGAGGCCACATGGAGAGCAAAGATTATTTCTGCAAGCGCGAACCCTCTTCCTGGCTCTGCCTTTTCTGGTATTGCCTATCCTAGCAAGTAGGCTCCAACAGTAGCATTGCCACTCCTAGTGCAGGGGGGTAGGGAGGGGAGGCCACGCTCACCCTTTCTCCTTCACCACAGTGACAGCAGCCTCCTAAGGAGACCGCTGCCTCTGCAGTGAAGCAGGGCTTGGGGCCCTAGGCCTTCATTCCTGCAGTGGCAGCGGCCTTCCCACAAGGTGACCACTGCCATCACAGGGAAGCAGGGCTGTGGGCCCTCACGTTCCAGGGTGTTGCCACCCCTGGTGTCACCTGGTGTGGAGTGTGGGGTGTGTGGCCAAAAGGCCATGCTCACCCCTTCTCCTTCACTGTGGTGGTGGTAGCCAACACCACAGGAGAAGGGCTAGACACCCTTGGTCTTTGTTCCCATGGTAGTGGTGGCCTCACAAGGTTACCACTATTACCATGGGAAGCAGTGATGGGACCCTTGGCCTTGTCTTTCCCCATGGTGGTGGTGGCTCCTCAAAAGGAACCACTGCCTCCACAGTGAAGCAAGGCTAGGAGGGTTCACCCCCCCCCCAGTGGGAGGATGGCCTGAATGGGTACCACTCCTCTTCTGGGGTGTCACTCAGTGCAGGTTGTACCATCATATCCCTCCCCCCCCAGCAATGGCAGTGGCTGCAGCCTCTCTCCCTCTGGGCAATATTTAGCATTAAAAAAATCTGGTTTTCAAAGCCAGAAGTGAAGTTTTGGACGTGGCTAGGATTTGTTTTGTAGTGTGTGTGTGGGTATTTATGTAGTCTTGAAGGAGCCTCAGCCATGCATTATCTCTTGCCTTTCATGATTCAGGATCCCCATCACATTGCACAATTATAATCCTATGATCCCACTTTAACAACCATGGTTCCATCCTATGGAGTCATGGTATTTTCAATTTAGGGAGGCATTATTTAGAATTTTCAGCCAGAGACTTCTAATAACTCAGTAAACTACAAAAGAGTCAATAAACTGTAGCCATAGCAGTTCAAGTAGAATCATAGTGCTATAAAGGACCATGTAAATTAATGGTGCTATACAAATTAGTAATAATAATAATAATAATAATAATAATATGCCTGCATCACAGTTTTGAAGAGGTTGGATATCCTGAATACAGATGGCATGACTGATTATAGATCTAACATTGAAATCTAAATGGCATGTTCCATGATTTTTTTCTTTTTGACACAAGAAAAAAGAAATTCCATTGATTGCTTTGGTTGCGTATGACTCCTTATTAATACAGAGAAAGTGACTTTCACAAAAAACAAAGAAAAATAACCTGAAGTCGTTCTTGGATTATTTACTATGTTGCAGTTGAGAGAAGGTGTGCCTCAAAGTTTCAAGAGCCTGCAGGAGAATGTGGATTCATTTGGATCCTATCACATTATTACTCATTCAACTCTGAGGCCTCAGCCATTTGAACAACCCAAAGTCTGTGGAAGGGAGAATTCCCTACAGGGCACTTTTTTGCTGGAAAGGCAGTTACTCAGCTGCTCCCTTGTCTGGCATTATTCCTAGAAAGGAACAGTGGGGGTCTTGAGGTCTCACAGACTGTTGTTTGTTGTTGTATGCCTTCAAGGCATTTCCAACTTACGGCAGCCCTAAAGCAAACCTATCATGGGGTTTTCCTGGTAAGTTTCTTCAGAGGAGATTTGCCATTGCCATCCTCTGAGGCTGAAACAACGTGACTTGCCTAAGGTCACCCCAGTAGGTTTACATCACTGAGCTGGGATTCAAACCCTGGCCTTCTGAGTCATAGTCAGATGCTCAAACCACTATACCACACTGGCTCCCAGACCACCTGTGTCAATTTCCAGAACCATGCACTGCTTCTGCCCTACATGAACATACAACTCTCATTTGCATTTGTGAAAGAATTCTTCATCCACTCAAAGAATACTGATTGGTATAATGCACACAGGAGTTTGTATGACTCCACCCTATATAACCCTAATTGGGAACAAAATTTGGAATGTAACACTGTATCTTTGGTACACAATTATAGCAATTTGGGGTCACTTTAATTTCCATGGTTCCATTTTACAGAGCCTTGGGATTTGTAATCTAGTGAAATAGTTGGAATTCTTTGCTGCTCTACTGTTATGTCTGCAGGGGATAGAATAAGACCTTTCTAGCAGAGAAGTCTAAAGAGCACATCAGATTGCAACTCCCAAGATCTCATAGGATGGAGCCATCACAGTTAACACAGCATGAAACTATTAGAATGGTGTAGTGTAGACAGTGTTAGTGTGCATGTCATTGAACAGTCAATAGGCATAGTATTTATTTATCACTAAGATCTCCCATTTCAAGCCTTGAAGACTTCCCAACAGAATAGATTATTTTAGCAGACCTTTCTTCCAAATACTGCATTTGCTTTCATCTTTTGAACCAAGACATTGTTGATAATATGAGTATATCCCTTTTGTTGTTGGAATTTTGCAGTCACACCCTCCCCTATTCCTCTGCCATGAATATTCATTCTGGATCTCCTTTTGCAGGCAATATCATGGATACAGCACAAACAAGCCCAACAGCCTTTTCTTAATGTCCTACACTACTAACATTGTCCATTACTGCCACTCACCCCTTTCTACATATTTTATTCTTCACTTAAGCCATCATGCAATTTGGGCATATTAAATCATACAGCTGAGATGCTTTCCTTTGACTTCTAAAGCCTAAGAAGGAAAAAGCAGTCTTAGCAGTCTTCTGCCTTCTCCTCAGTAAAAGGAAATAAGAAGAATAGAAGGAAAATATTAACAGTGTCACATTTTAGGATCTGATTTTCTTGGTATGCACCATAAGTCACAAATATCACAAAGAATTATCTTTAGGTATATGCATTTTGAGAATGCAGTAGGACTGAAAAATAATATATCATTGGGCAGATCTACACTGGCCAGAATACTAAAGGCTGCTCAAGGGGTATTTTGGCCTCAAAATTGTCCTGAATTCCCACTGTTACCTCTGCATTCTGACGCCAGATGGTTTACACAGCATACCCTGTGCCACGCACTTCTGGTGGTGCAAGTTACTTCCTCTGAGGTCAGAAATGAGGTGCCTAGCATTGACCACATGGCTGAGCACCTTGTTGGGAGTACAGCTGGACGGATCCATGTTAGTGGTGGTGGCAGCGGTTGGCACAATGGGACATTGTGTAAAAGGCCACCCAGCATTGCTCCAGAGTGCTCTGGATTTTCTTGGAAGATCCAGAGCAAATTGTGTTTTTAAAATGCAGTTTAACACAGGGATGGCTCAGATTTATTGCAGAAGTGCCCTTCCCATGAGGAGACAGTCCAAAGTTGAATCAAGCCTTGGCATTGTGTCATGAAGACAGGGCACTGTGAGGGCAAGGGGAAACCGGTTCATTTGGCATATATAGACATATGTTGATATTGATTTCTCTCTCTCTCTCTCTCTCTCTCATTCACACACACACACACTTTTAAAAAGATAGCTCTCTTATATCTCACCTGAACAGCTGAAAGCACCCATGTATTTTATCTCATTAGCAATTGTTTACTTTTTATTTTTTCTGCAAATCTGTTCCTTCTTTGCAAAGAAAGAAGAACTGAAGTGATACCACTAAATATGCATATTTTCTTGCCACAATGGTGTTGATGTGTTAAGCAGTTGTGTGTTATAAGAGATTATCACACTTGCAAAAAACCTGGCTTACCTCTCCTGAGTTGAATTCTAATTTGGGAGGCCGACGGATCCTATCGCACGAGTTTTGCTGCCGAATCTGCTGGCTGAATATAGCCCAGCTGCATTTGGGGTTGCAGAAGTGCTCAGCAAGCTGCTTTTCAAAGCTGGAAAACTCCAAACTTTGAAAAGTGGCTTGCTGAGTGCTCCTGGTACCCTGGATGCAGCAGGACTGTAGTTGTTCAGCAGACTGGGTGGCAAAACTCATGCGATAGGACCCGGCTGCCTCCCGAATTAGAATTCAACTCGGGAGAGGTAAGCTGGGTTTTTTACAAGTGTGATAATCTCCATAGTCCCAACTGTCCATTCTTATTCAGACTGTTCAGTTTGTTCAGATGTCAGCTTTGCTGTTTTTAGTGGGTCTTACTTGAGATAAGTGTACATAAGACTGAAGCATGAAGGTTGCAGTTTAAGCGTGCACAGGCAAGTATTGAGCTGAGCTGGTTAAAGTGCTGACATAATTAGGCAGCAGGATCAAGTCCCCTTTGCTAAATAGTCCTGGATTCTGGAATGTTTGCAAAGGCAGCAAGTGAAACCTAATAAAAGCAAGGAGTTGGATTTATTTAATTAATTTATATATAAGATTTTTATTCCACTCCCCTAGCCAGAAAGGCTCTTGTAGGAGCTAACAAAGATCTTTTTAAAAATAAAAATCTACTTAGAAATGAATTTTAGCACATGGACAACAGATACACAGGTAGGCACATGGGTTTTATCACAGTTTTCCCCAATACAGTGTGATGCTCTTTATTTCTGTTCAAGCAATAACAATAACAATTAGTTGTAAAGTTGTGGCTGTATACCAGCATATGAAAATTTTATACAAATATCTGCCCTGGTGGTGCAGTGGTTAAATGCCTGTACTGCAGCCACTCACTCATAGACCACAAGGTTGCGAGTTCAATACCAGCCAGGGCTGAGGCTCGACTCAGGCCTGCATCCTTCCGAGGTCGCTAAAATGAGTACCCAGCTGTTGGGGGACAATCAGCTCACAGTTGTAAACCGCTTAGACATCCCATAGCGTGATATGAAGCGGTATATAAATAAGCTGCTTTGCTTTTGCTTTGGTGATGGCAAAATGGCTATCTTGCTTAGAAAATATTTAGTGCGATGGAGTTAGAAATGAAGTTATTGCAGCCTGGAAACATTCCTCTGTAAAGTAATGCTGTTTCCACTATTTTCCATGAAGAGATGATAGTCAACATAACAGAATCCAATTGCCTCTGGTTTTTGCAAATCACAATACAAAGAAAGCATCAAAGTGCGTTAGGTGTTTTGTAAAAATGGTGCCTATGTATGTCAGTATATTACCTCTGTTTCTGGCCTTGGAAATATTTTCAAGAAAATTTTGATTCAACATGCATGAAAGAATCCAGCACTGACCAACCATAAGAACATATGTGATGCTGAAATGCACCACTCAGGTTGGTTCTCTCTCATTTCATTCTGTTTTGTCGATGCTTTGTCATCCATCCTTATTCAGTGTTTGGTGCCTCCCTTGTCAGTAGCTGGAAGCATTTTTCATCAGGAGAGTGCACTATACTGCGTTAAGTGTTGCACTGCTATTTGGGAGGTGACTTGCAATGGAAAATTTGTGAACAGCTTTTTGTATTAAGTGTTGCAAGATCATAAGGGCTGACTTCCTTGGTAATTTGTGTATAGATGAAATAAATACTTTTTATTGTCTTTGTTTTGCTTCATGTGTCTGGGCTCCACTATTGTAGCATTTTCTTCCCATAGTGAGTAATATAATATAGAAAAAATCCTCATATTTCTGATTTTCTTTTTACCTTGGCATTAAAATTACAGAACACTGTAGAAATGGCAAGATTCTAATGAATTCTGTAATCTAACACTCCACCTCACCCCTACTTTAAGGTAAAAAAGGAGATTCTATACCTAAAGCACAGTCTGAAGATTTTTATTTAAACAATTAGATCTACTTTTAATAATATTTTATTCAGATGTTGTTTATAAATAACCAGATTTAAAAAATCTATCTAAATGTAATAGAAACTAACATATATTAAAATCTACAGTCATAACCTTTTAAAATTGAATCTATGCATTCTGTCAAACAGATCTGAACTGAAACTTGCTTTTCTATATTAAAAAAGAGGGGGTAGCTAGAGAAAAAGTAGGTCAAGCATAGGTTTGGCACAACAATAAACATTTACTTTCAGTGTCATTTTGGGACTTGCACAGCTACTGTTTACACTGGAAGAGCCATGCTTGCTTCACTCACTTTTCCTGAGGCATCCACATGATGCCATCTTCAGATAGTATTGGGTTTCTCTTCATGACACTTCTGTCCCTTTTCAAACCTAAAAACAACATGATGCTTTTGGAAAGACCAGAAGAATTGGAGCTGTAAGTGATCTTAATGATATCCTCCATCTTTTTAAAGAGATTTGATATGTAGTTAAAGGTGAGCTGGGCTAAAATTTCCTAGGATGTTGCCACACAAACGCTGTTCTCATTGCAATTATGTGAGCTAAAAAAAAAAAAAGGAAATATACTGGTTTCAGAACAGCCATTGTCTCATGCCTCTGAAATATTTATTTATTTATTTATTATATTTATTTATATCCCGCCCTTTCCCCAAAATTAGGACTGTGGGCAGCTTATAGCCTGACTCTCTTCCACACTCTCCCTTAACTCCACCTCTCTGCCCTATGCCCTATCCAGCATGCCTTTCAGTTTTTTTTAAATTTATTTACACTTTTTCATACAATTCCAGAGCTCTGCTACTGCAATTAATGTTTTTAGAGGAGGAGGAGAAGGAAGGGAGGGAGGGAGGCAATCAGCCTGCTTGGGAATAGCAAAGGGTAGGTGGGGATAGGGGAAGAGGAGGGGATACTGACACCACATGACTAACACTATCACAACTGCCCTGCAATCATGTTTTGCACCTGAGGAAGAGCACAATTGTGAGCTCATTGATGGGTTTCCCCTATCAATGAAATGTGATGCCCTAACCACACTTCGAGGACACATCAGCTAAAGGTTGGAGGCAGTAACATGTGATAAGTATCTCCAAAACTTCTTTCTCTGACTGTAATCCCAGTTTTAAAGTTGTGCATAGTAATCTCCTTAGAACAATCTTTATTCCTCATAACATTTCTGAGATTTTTCTTTTGTTTGCTGCTCAAAAAAGCAAAGGTCACTTTGCAAAATTTTCTTCTGAATATTCTTCACTATGGCTGCCATTTCCTCTTTACAATGCCTCAGAAATATACTAGGGATGCAAAATAGTAGCCAAGCTATCAACACAATTGCTGGGTTCACCACTACAGCATCAGCAGCAACAACAAAAATGTAGTGGAATGGGGGGAAAGAAGCTATGCTACTGCTGCCAAGAATGAGACCTGACTTTGAGAAACTGTTGGAGAAATTCTCATAGGAAGCTGCCTTATACTCAGTTGTCCATTTAGCCTTGTATTGTCAACTCTGACTGTCAACAATTGCTCATTGGGATTTCAGGCATTACTTGGGCTACCTGGAGATGCTGAAGGTTGAATGTGAGAGCTTGTCTGTTCCAAGTATGTGCTTTCCCACTGAACTACAGCACTCCACAATTTCTCCCCTTCCTGGGGATATTAGGTTAAATGGTCCACACAATGGTTCTCCCAATTTCTTTTAGCCACAGGTATGGTGGAGAAGTTGCATGCACCCATCTCTGAATGGAAAAGATGTGTCAGAGAAGTGAGCCTATCAACACATATCTACTTAGGACGTCTTCACTGTTCCTGTTTCTGCTGGTACTATTTTGTGTTGAGTTTTTATGATGTTGCTTTTTGATCTACTCTGTTATGCCTATTCAAAGAAACAATAATAATATGATCAAGAAGGAGGGAACTTAGGATGTCTAGCTGGAATGAGATGGAAGTAAGATGCAATCTTATTGGACAAAGTGCTCCCATCTGAAGGAGTACTGTCACTGTGGTCCTCTTGTATAATCATAAATAAAGCAAATAATTGGCAAGACACCTTTTGACTAGAGAGCCAACATGGTATAGTAGTATGAGTGTTGGAGTAGGAGCCCAGGAAACGGGGTTCAAATTCTGAATGGACTATGGAAACACATTGAGTGACCTTGGGCAAATCATATTCTCTCAGCCCCCAGAGAAAGGCAACAACAAATGCTCTCTGAACAAATCTTGCTAAGAAAACCCTGTGATAGAGTCAGTTTGGGGTTGCCATAAGTCAGAAATGACTCAGAAGCACACAATAATAAAAAGCAACTACAACAACAATAATAATTCAACTCTGGCATTCTCTCATCCAAAGCAAGTCTACTGTTTCTGTCTCTGGAACTTCATGCTACTTGGAAATGTGGAACACTTTAATGGTAGGTGAATGTTAGGTAAACAGATATGTTTAAAGCAGCAGACCAAAGAACAACTGGTAATTCAGAAAAGGAAAAAAAATGCATGGGGGCAAATGTACAGCTGGTATAGGGACTACAAAAAGAAAAAAGAAGGAAAGGGAGAGAACAGTGCAAAGTAGACATAACCTGAAGGTGCTGCCTTAAAGTCCCATTAACCAGGGACAAATTAAAACTGAAACAGCAGCAACATCTGAATAGCCATCCATTTAGAGCAATTCATACTTCATTCAAGAATGTGTATACAGGTGAACTTCATTTTGACAAAGGGCCCTTCTTAGACTGAGTATTTTCTTTGAATTTTTCCTTCTTTAGCACAGCTGCTTTCACCTTTCAAGCAAGAAATAGAGCATTAGTAGATAGAATTTTTACCTGATGATGAACAACCCATCCAATCTTGACCCATTCTATCAACCTGCCATTTTTAACATCTATTCAGAACCCATAATGAGTGCCTATGAAAGGCTAGGAATTTGTGTTCAGATCAATGGTGGACTGATTAATTACCTAAGATGTTATTCAGATAATAGAGTTGAGAGCAAATGCAAAGAAAGAGCTCTCAGAAGTGCTCAGTGAAGTAAACCAAATCAGCTTCAAATGTGTTTTAAGGAAAAGTGCAGTGACGACCCAGGCAACTATGGCATGAAAGAAAGGAGACATCCAAAAGCCAATCTCACAATCAACAACATAGGCATGAAGGAGAAAAGAAATTTCTACAGCCCATTAAAAACTGGGGAGCCTATTAAAACCAGATGAAAAAAGGTACAAGGAAATCAAATCAAGAGACATGGAGTGGCACTTACAAAAGAAATCTTTTAATGATATTGAAAAATTATTTTGCATTCACACTGAATTCAGAAAGGGTCTGTTGTGGTTATAGAACCATCTTACCCTAAAGACGTGCTTCCAGAGTGTCTAGCCAGAACACATCCTTACTTTTCTTAGGCTCTTTCTGCTCAAATGCAGTTGGAGCAGGGAGAAGAAAGAATATTTTTGCATGCTGAGTGGGTGGCATATAAATTATAATTTGGATGTAGATGAGAAGTCCCTCTTCTCAGAGTTTTTCACACGACTACATTGGTGATTCTTTTCATCCCATCTCTTATATCTGACTGCAAATGTTCCCACTCAGATCACTTTATGGTCGCATAGTAAATTCAACCCAGGGCTTATGAAATGCCATCAGTACATCTTCCATAAAGTGTAACAAATAAAGGCAGCATAAGTTGTATAAGTATAGTGATATGCAAATGAGCAAATGCTCATGGACATTCTTCAGATTTCCCTTCAAATCTCATCCTGACTCTATGTTTCACTGAAAGGTGGGTTTCCTTGCATAGAAAATTATGCTTGTTTCTATGCAGATTTTCTATATTTACTAAACTTTGAAATGCTCTTTCTTCCCTTTGATGAAACCATATTTATATACATTTTCTAGAAGCACAGTGATTTTTTTCATGCACAATTTTCAAGCACACACAGTTACTGGATAAGTTTTTAGCATAGATTGGTCACAAGTTGATAAATATACAGATATCCTCTTGCAATTTTCACTGAAATCTACATTTGGTTGGTGTGGGATGGAGTGTGAAGTCTATGGATTTGGATTAAAAACTATATTAGATGAATTTCTCCTTCATGTAAGTGCTGTAAGGATCTGTGTAAACAAGAGCATGGAAAGCTTTCCCCCCCAAAGTATGTAGCTATTGTTATTATTCTAAGATCACACCAAAACAGTAAGTTAAAATTATAGTTGCCATTTTTAAAAAGCAACATTCAATTTTCCCATTTCTAAAAAGCAACTAAATCCTTACCTTGTAGTTACTTTTAAAAGTACACACACACTTTTGTTAAAAGGCACTGGTCTCTGGCAGAAGACATACTCTTCTGTCTACTTTACCATCCACTCAACACCCACAACAGAGCATGGGGCAGCAACATGGGGCAGCACTTGAACCATCGGATAATCCTCCTTTGTCATTCGGTGATGCCACATCCCATAGCAATAAAAATAACTAAAAAGTACTATTACATCACAAGAGGAATAAAGTTATCTTTTATATTTGTACTGTATAGTTATATCATCATTACTGAGGAAAGGAATTACCTACAAGTAAACAGTTATTTCTCACTAGTTATTTCTGAGCACTGGTGTAAATGAGATTTACCTGGTGAAGCCAACCTAACTGAGATTTCAAGTCATCACAATTTCCCAAGAAGCATGGAAAATGCTTCTTGGGAGCATAGTGGCATATGACCTTGACATATTCCCTGATATTACTAAGTTCATCAACAAATGGGGAGGAATTCAAAAATCTGATTAAAATATGAATCACGTTAATATGGAATCTCAGTATGTTCTTAATAATCTACCTTTACAAGAAAGGAAGCTCTCAACTGATTTTTCAGAAAGTCCTGTAGAGTCCTGTATAATATTTCTCAGAGAAGCTGTGTAATATATAAGATCAAGTGCATCATGTACCATAGTTCAGTGGTATAGCACATGCCTTGTTTTCAGAAGGTCTTCTGTTCAATCCTTGACATTTCTATTTAAATAAATGATGGCAGGCGATGGAAAAGATCTCTGCCAGAAACCTTTGAGAGCTGCTGGCAGTCAGGATAATAGGTAATACCGGATGGATGGACAAAGGATCTAACCTAGTATGAAGCATATTCCTGTGTTTTCAGATCAAACTTATTCATTTTTGGCCCCCCCACCCACCCTAGAGAATATGTAGCTATTTATTCACAATGCTTATTTCCTTTTTCAAGAGGGGAAAAATTGTATCCAGTGTTCACCAGCAGAGAGAAAGCTGTCATTTGTTGTTGTTGCTGCTGTTGTTATGTGCCTTTAAGTCAATTCTGATATATGGTGATCCTATCCTATGTTTTCCTTGGTACAATTTATTCAGAGGAGGCTTGCCATTGCTTTCCTCTTAGGCTGTGAAATTATGACCACCCAACGTCACCCAGTAGTTTTCCATGGCTGAGATGGGATGGAACCCTGGTCTCCCGGATTCCTAATCCAATAATAAAACCATTACATTTCTTTTTTTTCCAGCTGCTTACACACAGGAAAAGCAAAATGCACATCCAGCTGGTCCTGACTTTTCAGAAAAACTAATGGGAATTATTGGGTAGGCCTTAGCATTGGCTGCACATGCATTTCTTCATAAAATCCTTCAATGTGCCTTTCTTCTTGTTGTTGTGTGCCTTCAAGTCATTTCTTATTTAGAGTGGCCCTAAGTCGAGCCTATCATTGGGTTTTCTGGGGCTGAAAGTGTGTGACTCATTCAAGATCATACAGTGGGTTTCCATAGCTGAGCAGGGAATCAAACCCTGGTCTCCAGGGTTGTAGTCCAGTGCTCAAACCACTACACCACTCTGGCTCAATACATGTTCAGTATCAATGACCATATTCAGGAACAGCCTCTTGCTTTGGAACACTCAGGCTGAGATATACCATCATCATAACAGGTGCTTAATCTGTTTTGATTTTGTGCTATTCTAGGAAAGGCTGGGATGACACATCCTACACTCTCCAATCCGTCATTTACACCTTCTTTTTTTCTGATGAGTGCTTACATTGGACAATTCCCAGAGTACATGATGCCTAAAAGATGGAGGGTGGGGGGAGAGAAATGTCTTGCCTAAGATTTATTTTCATCCCTAATTTAGTTTTCTTACTCTATCTTCTAGGCTCTTAGCAGTTAATAATAATTCAAATATACATAATGTGTTAAGATGCATGAACTGCTTAGCTGAAAACATGCCATTAAAATAACATTGGGCTGTATCCAATGATGTCATTAAACTAGCACAAAGCTTCAACTACTTGTGGAAGATGTTGTAGAAGCCCTGTTTTCATTGCTGTGCATTTATCAAATCCAATGCTTTGATTCTCTTTGTACAAGCACAGAGACTGGAAGTTCTCTGGTAATATTAATTACCTTGATTACACTTTCTCATATAAAAAACCCTTAGACCAGAAGCTCTCTCCCCCCCCCCAAAGAAAACTTTATCTAATTTAGAAGGCATCTTCTGGGAAACAGAAGAGGGGATTTTTTTGCTCCTTGTGCTATCTTTCCCAGAGTTTTTCTTACTCCATGGTGGGTGGCAATGAGTGGCAAACTTGATGGGTGTTGTTGTTATTGTTCTGAATCCACGCATTGACCAAGAGGTGGAGGGCCACCACCACACACTCCTGACTTGAATATTGTGCCTAGTTCGAGTATAAAATGGAAGTAAACTAGGAAAGGAAAAGATCTGTTGGTGAAGTACATCTCTTCTTGCCACCCAGTCATTTACATAGATAAGCAAGCCTAAATACCCTAAACCCTGATCTTGGAAGCTAATAAAAGGTGTTGTAGATGAGGGGTTACCATAAGTCAACAGACTACTTAAAGGCACACACAGACAGGTTTCTCAGCCAATATGGAGTAACATTTTGATCATCAGATTGGTAGTCACTTTTCCCAGTTTTCTTTTGGCTTTTATGCATCAAAGAATAATGTGTTTGGTGTTTTGGATGTGTTGTGAATGCAATGTGAAAGCAATATATTTTTCTTTCCAATTTTGTCCTAGGATATATTTTTCTTTTGTGTTTCAGGGAGTAAAACCTGAGAAATTGAAGTAAATCATGTAGGTCATAGCAGGAAGAAGGGGACAGAGAAGAGAGGAACAGCAGCAGCGACCCTCACACAGAGAAAAACAAATGGGAAAACAGTGGACAGTGAGTTGTGCCAGTGTCATTCTTGAATGGTTGTTTATCCTAAATATTTTTGAGAGAATTCATCTTGTCAGTTGTTTTTTCACATACACAGATACTCACACCCACATATATTAATATAAGATTCAGATTTTCATTGTGTGGTATTACTGAAGATATGGGTGAGGTGGGTCTAGCTTACTTCATATTTATAGATGAACAGTTTTTGTTTTTTAAATCCTTCCTGTGTATGTCTCTTTCCTTCTGATCTCATGCATTCCCTTTCAATGGGTGAAGAGATGAGAACTGGGGTTTTCCAAAATGCAGCCAGCTGTTTCCTCCTCTCCCAAGCTCAAAACAGAGAAATTGGGGAAATCATAGATGGAATTTCTCTCCTGCATTATGGTAAAGTTTTTAGTGTAGCAGTAGGGATGTAAGGATGAGTACAGGATGGAGCTTGTGGAGCTTTAATAGTTAGCAGATCCTGCATCAAGAATGATACTATAAAGTTCCATCAGGCAGAATCGCATCATATTGTTCTCCTTCACCTGCCTTGAAACACACTTTTTAGTTGCTGTATTCCCCTCCTCCGCAATATGGCTAATTGCTGGCTGGTGAAGAGCAGGGGAGCATGTGAGGAAGGGGAAGCTTCCAGCTCTGTTCCTGGATGCACAGCAATAACATCAGCTACAGGGCTGTGTGTCCAGCTATAGAAACAGAGCTGGACACTTCTTTGTGCCTCTCCATAGACCAGCAAATAGCCTCATTGAGATGGGGGAGGGGGAGCTATAGCACCTAAAAGGTGGATATGGGGCTTTGAGAGAGAAGACATACCACATATAGTACAATTTCCTGATCTAGGTCCTGTTGACACCCACATGAGCCCCATCCTGTATTTAATCTGGCAATCCTATGCAGTAGACTAGATTAATGGAAAGGTATTGTTGGTTTTTTTAAAAACATCTTTAGTATAAACGTAGCACAGTGACACACTTTTTGACTAACTTTCCTATCTCTGTTAAAGCCAATCCATAAGCCTGTGTGTGCTTGTTGTTTCACAAGGCCACATACTGCTGTGAAGTCTGTTCCACAAGCTGTGCCACAGGCTGTTGCAAAACTCTTTGAGTGCAAGGTAAACAATCAAGTGGCAGAACAGAAGATTAACTGAAATATTTATAAAACAACATAAACAGGAGCAGAAGTGTGTCAAAAAATTAAACTACTAATCTTACACCACAAAGGACTGTCTAAACAAATAAACAAAAAATTAACCCAATGGTGAGAAACCATCAATTAATGGATGAAGTAAACCTCCCAGGGGAAATAATGAGTGACAATAGAATTGCCCGCTCTTGTTCACATCAAGTCCAATTCATAATGTTGGAGGGATGTACAAGGGGGTATCGTAAAGTTTTAATTATCACCTTTAAAAAAATTTGACAGAAAGTTTTTTTTTATTTGTAGTTGATAACTTGTCTCTACGAAGTCATCATCCAGATTTACACATTTTTCCCAGCAATTCTTGACCCTCCAAATGCCATTATTGTAAAAGTCTGAAGATGTGCCTTAAACCACTCTTCCACTTCATGAATGACGTCATCTGCATTGTCAAATTGGTGACACTGATAAAACTTCATCAATATACCATAATAACTTCCAGGTGATTATTATTACTTTACAATACCCCCTCATACTTCTCCATCTTACACTTTAGCAAAGCAGCTTCATTTATATACCGCTTCATACTGCGCTATGCAGTATCACTTCTGCACTTTAGTCACTTCTGCTACAACTTGTAACAAAAATAAAGGACACAATGGGCCAATTTTCTCCACATCCTGCACTTAGGGACCAATGGTGATACTGACAAAATTTCATCAATAACTTCTGGGTGATAATTATTACTTTACAATACCCCTCAAAAATGAGACTGTTTTTGGAAGATCTTAACAAAGAAGCAAATTCATAATGGAGCAAGATTGCATTCCTCTTTTTCCCAGTCTGGGACACAAGGTGGCTAACAGAAGTTAAAACAGATACAACTTTAAAAAAATAAAAATAAAAAATGAAATTTAATTGTCAATATAATTAAAGATATGGCAATTAAAAAGTAAATGACAAATTTAAATAATGCTTCATATTCTGAAAGGCTCTTCTTACTGAGCTTTGAAAGATTTCAGTCCTGCTCTCTCCCCCAAGTCTTCACTGACAAGGAGATGCTACTTTAATCTCTCTGTGAAGAGAGCTCCCAAGCCAAGGCCCATTCCTTTGTTCCCACTAGATGTACTTGGTAGGACAGAGAAAAGGGCCTCTGCAGAAAATCCCAAAACATGGGCAGACTCATATGGGAGAATACAGTCCTTTGGATGTTATCACATGGGGAGTCGCAGGGAGAAAGTGGAAATAAACTGGACGAGAGGAAGACTTTAATTTATGGGATTTGTCCTGTTCCGCCTCGTCTGATAACAACCGGTAAATTCAAATTTAAAAGGGGGTTAATTCGAACAAAAACCTGATCTTTTCAAATCCTCAAAAATCCCAAAAATGAAAAGATCAGGTTTGCGTTCGAATTAACCCCCTTTTAAATTCGAATTTAGTTATCAGATAAGGTGGAACGGGACAAATCCCGTAAATTAAAGACTTTCACTCGTGCCCGTTTATTTCCACTTTCTCCCCATGTGATAATGTCCTTTGACTAATCTGGATTTGAGCTGCCAGGGGTCATGAACTGGTCCTTTCCCCAAAAGTCAGGAGTCAGGCTTGAAAAAAATATGCAAAAAATGTATGTTTTGAAAAGAACATAAAAATTTGCTCTAAGACCTTGGAGCCTAGAGTCTTTATCCAGCCAATGCTAAACATATTTCCCATTCGTTCAAAAAGGCAAGATGGTTCTTAACTGCCCCTCTAAATTCTCCAGTAGAACTTAGATGTGTTTAATCACATTGGCTGGACTGCAGCTTAAATTGTCTGTTATAAAATTGAAGAATGGACTCCATCAGATTCATAGACTGAGAGGTGGTGGGTTATAGATTTTGTGTGTCTTTTTGGCTTGTGGTTCTTGAACCTTTGGGACATGAGTATAAGCTGTGCCTTGATAGCAAAATGATGCAACTTGGCAAAGTCAATGAGTTTGCAAAATGGCTCTTAGAATCTCTTAGAATCTAAGCCAGTGAGGATGCCATTAAAGGGGAGGATATAAATCTTTCTCTCATGAAATGACTATTCGGCTCTTATGGTTTAGCAAAGTGTGCTTGATTATTTTTATATTAAATTGGCCAGGCTACACAATGTTCTACTTTACATTCTGGGTTTCCTGGGTTTTGGAATAAATTCTTTCCTTTATTAATCAAATTCAGTCCAACTTAAAAAAAGAAAGAAAGAAAGAACATGCAACAGAAGTCTCTTTGTCACTGTGTGCAGAAATAAATAGTTTTTCTTTTAAAGAAATGATCCTTTTCCCCAAGGTTTTCTTAGCCAGATTTTGCCAGCCTTATCATTTAAGCCCTCAGACTATTATTCACATAATAAAATCCATGTTTGGATAAATGAAAAGTTAACCTTAACTAGGGAGTAACAAAATAATATGTTCTGTTCACCATTTCCACTCATTTGAGAGTCATTTTTACCTATAAATCTTTAGAAATCTATAGTGAAGTTCAAAGTCCTGCAATAGCAACAGAC